TTCACGTGTACACAGCTGGTATATGATTTAGACAGCCATTTTATTAGTTTCCATCATTCGATTTTTCAAACACTATACAGGTAGTACAATTGTAAAATAGACGAGAGCCTTTAGCGAGAATAGTTTGAGTATTTGTAGACCCATTAGAACAGAGCACCAGCAGTAGGTGAGCTGTGCTATCTTGGTGATTAAGAGCATTGATACAAACTGACAGTTCACTGCGACTAGTTCCCTGAACTACGTTACCTGCTGTACCGACGGGGAAAGGTATCGTGATCTGAAACACGTTTGTATCGAGCTGAATGTCGTGTTTCTACAAAGAGAGAACGTGCGTCCATTCGTCAACAACTTCTGCTGCCTTTAACAGCTACGGTGGCACAAACGTTACCCGGCCTTTTGGGCGCAATAGCTGAAGTAGAAATCTGCAGCAAAGCATCTATTTGCTCGCAATCAGCCCCAGGAGACGTAGATCGAGCGATTGCGCAAAGTATATGTTGCCATTCTAGGCGAATTAACATAGTTTTCTTATATTAGTTTTAAAGGTATATACCTCGCTTGGGAAAAATTGGAAACGCTCGGAAAAGCTTGGAACATAATCGATGGATCGACTATAAACCTTTGTATACTGAATGATTTTTACGTAAAATTACCAGTGTTATACATTAAACATTATTCTAGAAATGTGTACTATTATAACTTTAGTTTCCTATGATCAATAGCCAGACGATACATAATTTCGTAGCCATTTATAAATATTTTCCTTTCAGCTCTACTCTAGAACTATATTTGTTGAAAGCAATACAGTTTGTTCGACCCGCTGTTATTTGTAGCTATAGAGAACAACCACAACAAGATCCTTGGAGTTTGCTTTAGCCAAATCTTGTCAGGTTTTCAGTAAGCATTCAAGTATTATTATCATTATTTAACAGATGTTATCTTAGAGAAATAGAAATGGTTTGGCTATTTTTTTTTTTTGTTTTTTTTATTTATAACAACGTGACGTATTTGGATCTTACTTGAATATCTTCCTCGAAGAAGAGCGTTCGACTTTCCAGCTTTGAAGAATCCAGTAAATCCCATGAACATGGACACTAATGCCATTTTTACAGAATGGTACTGTCGATTGTTAATATTTGATGAATTTTTTAGAATAGGGAAGCCTTTTCGAATTTGCCGTTTGTTACACTATCTCACGGTTAGTTGTGAGCCATAACAAGCAACACCGTCACGTCATCATCCACATTCACAATAACTACCGTTGATCGTTATCTCGTTTACGTATCACAACAGTCGTTTTATTTCTAGAACATAAACTAAGAAATACATAAATTCTAGGACGGAAAATTGTACCAAGGTCCAGTTTGAACAATGTTTTTGTTGGAGCTTTATTTTCTCCCCTAACTTCTAAGTTTTCTTTTTTTTTTTTTTTTTTTTTTTTTCTATTAACCTTAAAATGCAACTTTTCAAAAGAGCTTCGCAGCAGCCAAGGTTCGTTGCGGTTGAATAAATAAATAAGGGGCATATCATATGCAGAAATGGCATAGAACGTAAATCTGACCTACGAGTAAGACAGACCCACATAATCGCGCCAAACGCACGAGATGCGTTATAGTGATATCCGCATTTCTTACTATAAAGCTACTATAAATATCCTATCAAAGACCGTAAACATCCGGTGAAAACTGGTAGTCCTTACTTCAACGAAGAAAAAAAGTTTCCTTCGAAGTCACAAGATAGAAGTACGGTGCAGTATTGCTTGCTGATAACAGAAATATCACTATCCGGACTTGAGTTTCTGTCAGTAATGTGCAGTGGCACTAAAACGCTAGCTCACGGACTCACTTCCGAACCACATCTCAACTCATCGGACTTTGGTGAGGCTCATCTCTCCCAAATGGCAGCAAAGCTGCCTTGACCACTACGTGAAGTCACGCACGCCTTTTGGTGCGTTGGCTTCCCCTTCCCTGCAAATAGGGCAGACCTACACTTACGAGCATGATCTGTTCGTGAAACAAGGGGCGCAGTATGGTGCTTTCATTAGGCTGTCTATACAACGGGAATTGTACAGCACGAAATACAGTCTCGAGGGTAATGAGCACCTGTCCGTGTTGACCTGCAGGTTTGTCAACTTGCGTTGGGACGTCCCCCATCGGAGAAGTTTGGCGAGAAATGCGGGTTAACTCTTGGTCCCGTTCTTCGGTCTGAAGCCACCAGTGTGTTCTAGCTACGTTCAGCTAATTTGCTAGATTTCAATCATACGTTACATTTGCCACGTAACGTCACGTCTGTTGTTCTCTCTGACCTGCAAATGAACACATAACCTCTAGTCGCGGGGCAAATGGGGCGATGGGGGCTGAGGTAGTTACACTCAACTAGGAAACTGGACGAACGGAGCAGAAAATATTATCCCCATTGAGCATCTGTTTCACGGCTGCGCATGCTTCGTCTACTCCAGTGGCCACGTACACCTACACTGAGTCACACATGTATATAATAACTTAATAAAAATTTTTAGCTGTACTATGCAGAGTTCGTAAAGCGTAAGACTATAAATCTGATGCTGCAAATGAGTCAAATTATTTTAAAAAAGGCCACGGCTAGCAATCTGAAGTGGTAAATAAAATTTATCACTTATTATAGACATATTAAGATAGTTGTAAAAAAACCAGATATGACAACAGTGCTGCGATACGAATAAAGCTTTCCTTTGATTTCCTACGTTTTCCTCGACTATAAGTTCTACTTTGTAACGTTTAGATACTGTGAAAAGCCCGATCGTTGGCTTTATAGCTGGATACGGCCTTAAGCTTAAGTATTCTTTTGATGCGGTTACACACATGAACACTAGGAAAAAGGCGCACGTCCTGCTTACCGTGTAGCTTTGTAAAAGGTCTGGCAGGATTCGGCACTTTGGGCTTATTTCATTTTCTGGACATCGCTTCAGGCAGATGATAGAATTGTTACTCATCTATTAGGCTACAAGTCGTAGCCCAAAGAAAACAATGTATCAAAATCGAAGCACCTTACTGTTCTTGCTACGGTTTGTTGGCAGCCTCTTTTGCCTGACTGTGGCCGTCATTGCCGTGGCACTGCGCAAGATAAAACTTAACGCTAGACTTACTCATCGGCTCGTGTAACACTGCGCTGCTCAGGAGTCGCACCTGTTTCTAATAGTTCGGGCCCGATTCGACTGATCATATTTATCGTTATTGCCCCTATACCGATAGAGTGGTCAAGGAACCGGTATTCAGGCCTTAACACGCGTGGTACCACCGAAAGATTCATCATAAATGACGCTTCTCAAGTTGCACTATATTCAACGTATGACTTTTTCTCAGTTTCTATTCCAGGGATGGAGTATTTGTTCGATAGGACAATTTATTAACTTTACATTTCTTTAAAGAAAGCCAAAACGGCAAGCAAATTCGTTATCTTCTTGCGACTGGACCGTACCGTTCGTAAGATGATTGAAAATTGCATACATTTGATTTTCTAATTTTCTACGCCGGTTTGTTTCTAGAAGGAGAACGTCCGTATAAGTAAAATAATATGTAGCACCCGTGAAGGATCTGATAACGCGAAAGATTATTGTCAAATCACGTTATCCAAATTTGCCCCAACCAATGACGGTCTAGTGTTATCAGATGGCACTCCGATATATTAAAGTACACATATATATGTAGGCCTAGATGCATGCGTATATTGTCAGGAGAAACGTGACTTAGTTCACTGCACTAGCTAGGTTTCTTTCCGCATTCGAAGGACTCGTGAGTTGTCCGGGTACCTCTGTGTCTCCGACAATTTCCCGTTTTCCTTGTCCTTGTACAAATGCTACGGGAGTGGTAAGTAACTGGTCATTATAAAAAATCAGTTTATTTGTCAGGCGTCAGGGGAGCGGGGGGCGACAAAATATACTTCAACGAAGATCGAATATCGTTTTTGATGTAGCAGTGTGTGTTTAGTGCAGCTATAACACGGTCATCTGTTGGCCACCAGTTTCAAGCTATCGATCGGCAATTTGCATAGGATTTTTAGCTTCGGGACGGGTAAAGGTGAAATTCTGTTCACGTAGTTCATATCGTGTACTTCAAGAATTGAAGAGGTACACAGAATAACCAAATGAGTACAACAGATAAATAAAAAAACCCGCACCTAAACAACAGACATTAATTATCGTTTGAGCAACACGAAGAAGGGGAAATAACCATCGGAAAACAAACCGGGAATAAATCATCCTCTTTGTTACCACAGACTTTGTTATAAAGATTGAAAACAAAAATTAATATTTTTCTAGCTGTGACCTTTAAGTAAATTCATATTGAAAGCAATAGAGATTTGGAATTACGACGGACACACTTGCATATTCATAGTCCTTACTAAGACATGCAATGCATTTTAATAGGACCCACAACTAGTGTGCCAACTCTAAAGACTTACGCATCATTGTCACTTCAGCAAAGATAAAACGCACGGAGAGATAAAGTTTAATCAAAAGAAACCCTTTTTGTGACGGAATGCCAATGGTATATAAAGCTATATAAAAGGACTGGGCTTTCGAATCTTTCACTTACACACTCGACTATTTAGAGAGCTATAGCACCATTTGCTTTATATCTTTACAGAACAGTACCTGGTTGGAAAACGATCGAACGGAGAGCTTCAGTCATGTAAACTGAATTGAAGTTAAAGCTTTGATCACGTAAATTAGTATCAGCATCGGACATCTGCAACTGTGAATATCTTAATTCACAGATGTCTGTATCGTAATCGTAAACCAGTTCCCAGAGGTGGATGTGGCCTGACGTTTAGCTTATAAAAGTTTTTATTTTTTAATTGTTGGTAAGTAATTCATTGAGTATAGTAGGGGAATAAATAGATCGATAAACATGATGGGGAAACTAGTGGCTAGTAATTAATTATATATAATTAATTACTGGCCAGCATAATTAAGATCAACAATTTAATGCACTCTTATTTTGTATACTGAGGGAACGCCTTGCAAATGTCTTACACTGAAAACAACCATTTATTGGAAAGTTTAATAAAGTATAATACTGATCGTAAATACCAGTAGGCTATTTAGACAAGATTAAAGGCACTGCCTTAACTTATGCTGTGTTCGTTGTTCGTTACGCTGTTTCGATGCAGCTCGTGGACAATAGCTGGGGCCCAAGAGCATACTGGACAGCTTTACGTTGAATTACTGCTGTCATCGCGCGGGCAGATTCAAAAAAGACGCACATTCGAGCTGCCTGATATCGATGCGACTTCTACCAGGTATGAAATTGCTGAAGAACGCATCCGTCAAACTCAACAAAGACAGCAGACAGGAGCGGTCGAGAAGAAATTCGGTACGTCCACTGCTTCTGTCGGTATGCTTCAATAATTATGACTGGAGAATTTTTACATGTTCGTTGATGTGTTCTGAACACCTGGACATATTACCGCATTATCGCTGAAGAAGTAATAGAAATTAAGATTGGAAACACGTCATAAGTTGACGGATAGGTTAAAACACATTTTCCTTTTGTATGGGTGAAACGCGACGTACATGATTAAATATCCGTTGATGCTCAAGGAAATTGAAGCATCTCAATCCATAAAAACGAATACCAAAATACCTTATCGCGATCAGGGAAAAGCTCGCCTACGATGACCAAAACACGTTGGTGTTTTGATCAGGGGGGTTTGGATCGCTAATCCTCACACTTACGTTCCCTCATCTGATGATATCTGTGCATGACCGGCAGGAGCGAACACGAACAGCAAACGTAAGACATCAATAACGGAGTTTCTTAGGTCTCATCTTCAGTAGACTTTTGACGTGGTATTCGTACTCACTTATACTTCTTTTGAAGCATTAACGCTAAGTACGTACATTCTGGAGAAGTGCCATTTTTTTTTTTTACCAATTTCGGACACGCACGGCAAGAGCGTGCACTTTAGCAGATCGTCCGTCTATTTCCGGAATATTCCAGTTAGTATTTTTATCGCATATTTCTCAAGTCTCTGCAGATCTGTAGGTAGATCGATGCAACTAGAGAAGTCCAGACCAGCCAATTTACTTGCTTCGTTGAAAACCAGACCGCCAAAAAGCTATATTTGAATACAGGTCTGGACCATGAAGTACTTACTCTTTTAAACTAACTACTAGCCGGTAAGATTCGTGAGAAGCAGGGAAGATTGCAGGGAAAACAAGCAGGCCATAAGCTTTCACAATCGATTATACTAATCACCTAGAACAGGAAGCTTCTGTTATGTAAGCACTCAGAAAAAGTCGCCAGGTTTACTTAATAAGCATGGGCATCTTTTTCACACGAATATAGTTTAGTAGTATAGAAATCGTCAATTTTGAGTACACTTGACACATAGGGTACTTC